GATGATGATGATGATGATGATGATGATGATGATGATGATGATGATGATGATGATGATGATGATGATGATGATGATGATGATGATGATGATGATGATGATGATGATGATGATGATGATGATGATGACCATTATTGTCACCATTATTGTTGTTTTTATTAATGTTATTGGTATAAGTAGTAGTGGTAGTATTAGTAGTCGTAGTTGTAGTAGCAGTATTAGTAGTAGTAGTAGTAGTAGTAGTAGTAGTAGTAGTAGTAGTAATAGTAGTAGTAGTAGTAGTAGTAGTAGTAGTAATAGCAGTAGTAGTAGTAGTAGTAGTAGTAGTAGTAGTAGTAGTAGTAGTAGTAGTAGTAGTAGTAGTAGTAGTAGTAGTAGTAGTAGTAGTAGTAGTAGTAGTAGTAGTAGTAGTAGTATAGTGGTATTTGTGGCAGTAGTAGTACCAAGAACTTTTTGACTGGTCTCAGTGCTGAGTTTGCGCATCGTAATGATCTTGAAGCGAGACCGAAGCTGACAAACTCCCTGTTTCAATATTATCCGCCCGGAAAGGAAAAATCTTTCGCAAAGGTCCGTCGTCGTCCACATACAGAGAAAAAGCTTTCGCGGGAAAATGCGAGCGTTTTCAAGGTCATTTCTGGTTACACTTAAACGAATTACTCAGGATGCCGGCCACAAGGCCGTCGGCATGTCTGGGCTTCTACGTCTTTGGACAGGAAAACTAGTTAGGTGAGCTCCTACAGCATCGACGATGCGCTCCTCAACGGTGAGCTTTTACATGTCAGTCCGATATGGTAGGTAGAAGAGCTTGTAGTGACCTTACCCCGGACGCTCACTGAGACACTTCCCCTAGCGTACAAGCGCGCAATTACATTCTGAGGCCATGTTTGGTGTTCCCACTATCTCAGACCATTCCCTGAAACTGGGAGGGTGTCTGGTTTTCGGCCAATCTTAGCTATCCAAACTGACCAGTCGACTTCAAGACCGACGTGGACACGCCTTCCTTCAAGGAAACCGCACGTATGCCGGGCGATGCTCGGACGTCTGCACCGGCGAAGCCGGATGCGCTCCTTCATCTGGCTGCTGAAATGCCCCAACCTATTCTTCATTTGTTCTGTACGGAGGACCATCCACTCACGGCTGGGGTCCCTCCCCCCTTATTCTATCCGGAACCGAGCCTAAGGGTCCTAGTGGATAGGGCCTTTCATTGCTTGGGATGTTTTGGCAAACCCACCAGGTGTTATTAAGTCCATCTATCACTGCACTCATCTCCAGCTATCTTAGCAGTCAAAAGGCCTCTTTTCAAAGTTCCGGTTCAGGCTGCGTATTCAAAATTCTGATCGGTTTTTGCACTAAACGCTTTGCTAATGGAGAGCCTCCCAAGCTCTTCGAAACGTCAGCCAAACACACTCCTCGATACTGTGAGCACTTCCGTTTCCTCTTTTTAGAGTCTCAAGGAGGCAGGAGCTTGATCTGCTGCCTACGGTTGTATTGGATACAGAACGGAAAGTGACAACTTTAGGAGCCCGAATTGCGAAGAGCGATGCCCAGATGAGGCGTATGTGCACATCGAAGGTTTATGATGGGAGAATTTGACCCATGACAGAAGTAATACGTAGATCGTCACACTTCAGGTATTGATAGGACTGACCAGCTGCATGGGCAGCATGTCGTCTGCTCTGTCCGAAAAACTACCAACCCGATTGACACTACAAACTTATAATCTGAAGGCGTTGTTTATGAACCGCTGTCATGGCAGGCTCCTGGTGTTTCATTTTCATCCTACACAATGGCAGTGTGTTTGAGCCTGGTCCGTCCGAAGGATTCGTATGGATTTGCGGTAGTTTTCTTTCGAGGCCAAAATCTTCAAGTAATTTAGGACAAGGTAGACATTGCTTGAATTTCAGGAGGTTGACATGCTAGCCTACATCGTGAGGAGAAAAGTGCAATTATTGTCGGCCGCGCCTTCTACAGACGATCCTACTTTTCACGTATATGCAAAACGAACATACTGGAAAATGCCAGTGCGTTTAAAAACATGGGAAGCGTCTCTGGGGCGTCTTGTCTCCGAGGCTTGGAAAGAAAACTAACGAATTTTCCGAGTATATCATGCGAAGTAATGATAAGACGCAAGCAGTACGACTATCCTCGAAAGAGACGAATAGGTGCTCGGCAGCTACGGTGTCTCACTGTAAATTCAATTGTGGGCAAATAGAGATCATGAAGGCATCCGCTTTTCTAGTATACCCTCAAAATTTCAATAGCCTCGGCTACACCCTGCAGTGACTTTAGAGATTGGTCAGAGCTTTGAGCAATCGGCCAAAAAATGACTTCGACTACTACTTTCGTCACATGCGAAAGTCGCTAAATAGTAAAACATAAGTGCATTCAAAAATGCCCTTAAGGTCCTCAGTAACGGGTGCTGGGAAAGGACTATTTTCTCAAAGTACTGCAACTTTCATTAAAAACGACAAATGTGCAATACGACGCTTTGTGTGCTAAGCAATTATAAAGGACTGTATTACATGTACTTCCTATAGTGATGAAACGGTTGTTTCCGTCGTAAGAGTCTATCCGTGAGCTCGGGAACCCAGAATACGGAGTTCACGACTGGCGACGGACGAAGTGGGGGTTCGTTTGACATTATGTGGAATGACGCATAACTTCAAGTCGAGTACAATGGACGACAGTAGGAGGGTACTGTAGTCATATGTCATGGGGCGAGAATGCAGTTGGTACTCTTTATTGAATAAGTGTAAAACAACATGAAAACAATGTTCGGCGTGCTGAGGAGGAATAAATGACAAGTGGGTGAAGGAGAGAGCGAGGCTTGTCCTGTACCAATCGACGAAAGTCAAGTTATCGATTGATGCCATGCCAAGGCTTTGCGCTGAAGCATCGGCTGCCGAGACATACAGTCAAGGCAGAGGCGGTGGGCACGAGAAAACGCCGAAGAAATCTGGAACCTGAACTCTGACGACTGAGACTGCGCCAACTCGCGTCATCGAAATCCTGTTCGTTCCCAGCCAGCCACTTCTGCAGCATATCGGGCGTATTACGAAACGGAGATATTTTGGAAGACATTATATCCTCGTTATGCTATATGTTGTAGTTTCTTTGTATCCAGACTTCTGACACAACTGCCTGCTAGTCGTCTTGCTTATTCTTGAGTGTGAGCCTGTTGTTGGCTGTGTTATCTTTATTTTCTTCGTATAATCCTTTTCGAGAAATTTGGAGAATTGTTTTAAGGCCCTGCATTTATTGCCCGTTTCTTTGTAATCAGATACTCCACGCATACGTCAGTTGAGTAGCAGTTATTGATAGCCTCCTCCCCTGCTAACTTACTGGTCGCATTAAGCCAATCCTAATTTTCGCGCCATTAGGTCCCTCGATGTGACCAGCGCCTGCAGACAAAAAAGGCTGGAGGTGAGGAAGATTTCTGTGTGGGCTAATCACGTGTTTTTTTCAGTGCAACCGTAGTGGAAGCTATCGTTAAAGTTGATATACATAGACTTGACGAAAAAGAATAAGGACAAGGTTGTAAAACGTGCAGCACTCTGAACGACTATGAAAAAATCTGTTGTGAATATAACAGGTGCAACAAAATGGGCACCGGATATTGTCAGCTAGTCTAGGGTTGAAATATGATTGCTGAAAAATGTCTACCTTATATTCAGACTCGTTTTACATAGTCTTATTAATATGTCTGTCCTATCATTTTGACGGGTTAAGGTGCCAAGAATCTTCATTAGAATGTTTTCAGAAGTGTGACACACTTTAGCCACAGAGCAAATAGCGAAGAACATTTTTGCCTGATCAGTTGCGGCCTTTTATATTGAAGGTTACCCACTTACACGTCGTCAGTTAACATGGTTACTCTTGTGCAAGCTGCTGCAAGCACTTTTATTGGCTTTCTGCTTTTTACCAACAAATAGCAGACAAAGGTGTAAACAGTAGCACATTCGTGTAGTCCTGTTTCCATTGGAAGCTCTCCCGCGCCTTTCGGGTGACAAGTACTGAATGTTCTTTTTGGTACATTAAGTACCTAAGTATTACCGTAAACTCCTGTACGGTAAAGTAGCTTAGGCCAAATTGCTGAAGTTAATTAAATGCACATGTGCCGGCATAGTTGCATTACTATGTGTAGGAAATAATGTCGGCTGAAATGTTTTTTTTATCCTGACACCCCATTGCGACCATGCTCGGCGAATTAACTAAAAGTAGGCAACATCGAGAGGAATAATTAAAACCTCGTCAGCACACCTCTCTGATCCTATTTACTCTAGCGAAAATACATTCATGTCTGTGCAGTGTTAATCTACAGCAGTGTGTTTGCCCATACTGCATTTCGAAAACAATAGAAGTATTAAAATCAGCTCCAAAAAAATTTGATCCAGATTAGGTTGATAGATTTTCTATGAATTCTCAGTTGTCCGACGATCCGGGGGAGTCTTACTAAGTCTGACGATTGCTTTATGAAAACAGACTCCGCAGCTTTACTGATTTACTTGACACCGTACATTTGAGAAGGCCTTTGGGTAACAATCGGGAGATAGCACCCAAAAAATCCGTTACCTAGAAATAATACCTTTAACAGTGGACTCGAACGCCTTCGGGCTATATCAGCGGTTGCAGGCCTACTTTCACTCACTACTTGGACTTTCCCCGACGGCCTAACATGGGCTGGCGTAACGAACATCGCAGGAGGTTACCCGGACGATGGTCGCTGTTACCCAACCTTCTCCATCGTTACGCACGTACACTTTAATATACGGCATACATTCGTATTATGGCAGTTTATTACAAAACAAAATCACTTTTAAATAGGATAAGTCAGCACAGCATGGGACAGGAACAGTTCCCAGGCATCTGTCAAAGGCATGGCATTGAGGTCAAACCAAAGAAGATACTGTACTTCGTCTATGTGACCCCACACAGCTCGACCACATAAAGGGTCTTCGTCGTAGAGTTTCCTTTTCAGTCTACTCCAGTATGCCTCAATGGCATTGCTGTACCGTCCGGTGGTAGGGTCCTTGAAGTTCTTTGAGTGGTTAACAGAGAAATGTAGATAACCTTCTGAGGGAAGAGGATTATACGCCTTCCACTCGTCCGTTACCACTGTGCTGTCTTTGGCGACCCATTTTGTAATAACGGAACGGAGAGCGGGCCAACTTAGATCATTCATTTGTTCAAATAAGGCGTTCCGTCGGCTAGTATCGTACATCCCGACCAGCCACCACCCATAAAACCCCTATTACCACCTATCCCGCAAGACAGGCTGCTTTGGTTAGACGGATTTTTTTGGGTGCCATCTCCCGATTGTTACCGGCCTTTGATGAGCGGTTTATATCACATTCAAAGCCTTCAGGCGACCGATCTTAACATTTCAAATAGGTCGCACAATTCCAGTTAGGAATGATAATATGGCTACTATAATCTGTAGACTGGGGCCGACAGTCCCAGTTAATTATTTGTAGGCAGCGCATGAAGCACCGCATGAAGATAACTCATGGTTCGTTCTGAATTTAGAGTCCTCTTAAGTCTATCCGTGAGCTCATGCGCCCCTTTTTGTGCTGCCAAGCCCTCAGCAAGGCTCGAGTGCATCACATGAGTCATCAAAAGGCGACGCGCATAAATCGTCTGAGCAGCTGCTCCACAAATCTAACGCATGATCGCACGACGTGATTTGTCCCACATGACGTCGATTGGTTGCATTTCGTCACCTGCTCCTCCTCCCACCCCAGCATGGCCCCTCCTGTGTCTCAGCGGCTGCACTTTTGCGGTAGCACCGGCAGTGGTAGTGACCTCAATGTCACTCCGCCGGTGTCATGTGGATGCTCTTCATTTTGAAAGGAAAACAAACATTTTGACCGATTGTTTGTGGCAGTTATCACCTGTGGCGGAAATGAGGTTGGCTTTCGTGACTCTGCTCACTTTTTACTGGCAGTGGGGTTTTAAACGTGTTTTAGTTGGGATTTGAGCAAAGCTTGTGGTTGCCGCGGCAAATCAAAATTAGGGCATTTAAACGCCTTATCGGTGCGCGCCCCGAGAGATCGTTTGTGCAGAAAACTTGGTATATTTTTGACACTGAAAATTCACTTCCTTACAGCATAAGGAAAAAGTACATTGAAATATCGTCAGAATTATGTAAGCTCGTTCGAGTAAGTTGGGTGTGATTACCGAACGCTCATATAGACCAAAAGCTATGGGGTAAAATAGGGGAGTTTTGAATTCATCGTTTCCATGGCATTAAGGTCGACATATATTTGCATATGCCGAAAATACTTTGGATGTTCGACCGATTACCCGTCGTTATCGAAAAAGTCCAACTACGCAACAGAGGTCATCGTTTGAATGATTTGTGGTGCCTTAGTTGTTATTCATCCTAAATGGCCATTGTGGCGCTTGAATGCGTGCGAAGAGGCTGGACAGTGTAGGGAGCTTGGTGACTGGTGGTGTGATCCCCCACTAGTCCGACGGCGAGTGCGCAGTTTTCCGACCAAGTCACTGAGTGTCTATAAAGTGTGGTCAAAATGTGGGTATAGCAGGGTCGCTGCAGGCTGTTCTTTTTCTACTTAACTGACGGCGTGATGGCGGTATCTGACGAGGGCGAGACGCGGTTGGGGTGCCCGATTGCACTAAGGACATATGGAGGGGGTGGCTTTCTTGGTGATGCGAGTGGTCCGGAAATAGACCGGCCGTTTGAGCGTGCTTCCACTGCTACGCAGGTGTAGGTGCCCGACAAGACTGATCGGACATTGAACATACGTACGCTGGTGGTGCGGGAGCGACAGTAGGCGTTGAGCATTAGCAGGGTTAGTCTGCGGAATTCTAGTTTTGCAAGTCAGCCGCGTCGCCTTGATCTCGTATGAGATTGGCTTAGAAGGATGCTGTTCATGTTTTAACAGTCGATGGCCATGTCTGCTGATTCTACACAAGGGTTTGCCAATTGCCCTGATTTATTCAGAGGCACTTCAGCGAGACTTGTAATGTGACCCTAATGTCACTTTCAGCTTTTCTGGAGACGAGCACCAGTAGTAACATCAGCTTTGGCAGGCATTCCTCCCTCGTCCTCCAGATGTAGCCGTCCACTCAAAGTGGAGCCCTCGTCAATAATTCATATGCGCTGTGTGTGAAAGTCGGTTTAGGAATCTGAGTGTCCGGAATCCCTTTTTGAACCTTAGCTTTGATATTCTTCGGAGACAGCCTGGGGGAAAGTAGTTGTTCAGCTTCTATTCCCGGCCTTGGTAGATCGCCTATCTTTTCGCGCCGTACGAAGGCCTTGACAAGACATTCACCGTTGGGATAATGATCGACGATTCACTACGTTGGAATAAAGCGTCTAGAAAACTAGTCAGGCTGCAACTTATCTGTCGACCATGATGCTTCCGAAATAGGTGTATTCGTCCAATGTGAACAGGCAGTTGACATCAGTTATGGTTGAGGGTTCCGCATATTTCACCATCCATGGCGAAAACTGTTTTCCTTTGTTACTAGTCCGAAATGACCCATCCGGAAGTGAATAGGCCCAAACTTCGCTGCGTCTCTGCTTCATTTGTCGTTTTCAATGAATGATCGTTATGGGGGAGATAGTTACTGGTTCTAATCCTGGAGATTTTTTTCATGGTGTGTTTACGATAGATGATTGACAGTAAGGCGTCGGTTCAATAGGCGATGTCAATCCCTGGCCCCCCTATATATACAGGGGTTGGTGTAACTGACTTGAAATTTACGAGCATACCTCGATTTTCCGACGAACCCTCTCCTTTTTTATATCGTCTCGGAATGCATACTACCTCCGTTATTCATCATAATTTTGGGCGTCATACGCGACGTATCACCAGACGCTGGGGGAAATTATTACAGAGACCGGCGGCGACATCCGAGCAACTGACTTTCCTTCACCGCTGTCGCGATCATGGAATTCTGGCGAAGTCTCTTCGCTTCAAGCCGACTTTACCTAATGAGACTGGAAGGCTACTCGCGCGCAAATACGGATTCCGTGTTTTATTTGCCGTTATATCAGATGTACACCATCGACTTTCTAGATTTGAGATCACAATATCTGATCTTAGGCACCAGTGCTTTTCATCCTTACCTGAAGCTATTTTCGAAGTCGTACTGCAACGAATAAATGCGACCACAACAGACGCCAGAAGGAAAAAGCGAGTCGAGTTGAATGAAAAACTGCAATCCCTTTTCCGTCCTACCGACGAGTGCAGCAGGTCCGCGAGAGTCGTTAATCCTTCGAAAAGGAGTCTAACACCCGCCGAGATAAGCCTACTGTCTGAAGGACTTACATCCAATCATACCGATGAAGCGACAACAAACTTCCTAGCAAGTCTTGAAGCCGTCTTACTGACTTCTGCTATCCCTGAAGACGTTCGTGCGGACATACGCTGTTGTGTCAGTGGTCTTCTTCGACAAAGAAAATATCACCGTAACTTGACCGTGGATGAAGAAAAGGAGTTGCGATCTCTGAAGACTGATGACAGTATTGTAGTTGTACCTGCTGACAAAGGTGGCGCAACCGTCATCATGAAAAGGTTGATTACGTGCAAAAAGCAAACACAGCTTTTAATGACAGGGAAACTTACGCACCACTCGCTGAGGGCTCAACGAAAAAGCAGGCCGCGGCCATAAAGAAGGTGAATGAACTTACTCGACTAAGGCTGATTAATTCCAATTACTCTAAATTCATGACTCTGAGTGACCCCCATATCGCACATGCATATGGCCTTACAAAAGTGCACAAACCAGATGCACCATTGAGGATAATAGGGCCACTCATCGGATCGCCAACTTATGGCCTAGCCAAATGACTATACAGGCATCTGAAGCATCTCACCGATGGATCACAATACAGCATCACAAACTCTCAGGCATTCCTTGAAAATATTCAAGGTCTTACAGTAAGTCCTGATGAAAGCATTCTTTCATTTGATGTTGTCGCTTTGTTTTCCTCAATACCACATGACCTTGCCAATGGGGGCTTGGCCCGACGCCTACGAGACAAGCCCATCGACCTTCCAACACGCCACGTCTTAGAAATGCTTAAGCTCTGCCTCAATAATTATTGCCAATTCGATGGCAACTATTACCAACAGGTAAAGGGCAACCCAATGGGTTCGCCAATTTCGGGGCTACTCACAGAACTAGTCTTACAACGACTAGATCAAGATGTTGTACAAAATTTCCAACCGAAAGCGTAGCTCAGATACGTAGATGACACATTTGTCATCGTTAAGACCTGTGAAGTTGAGTGATTTCACCAGAGCTTGAATGGCGCCTTCCCAGCGCTACAATTCACTCGTGAAGAAGCAAAATGAGGCACCTTCCCGTTCCTACATGTGAGCATACAAAGACTCAGTGACGGAGGCCTCGCAACAACCATTTATCGGAAAAGCTCTGACACTGAGGGCATCCTGAACTATCAGAGTAACCACCCAACTGCCCATAAACGAAGCTGTGTTTGGACACTTTTCCACAGGGCCTATCGTTACGGCAGTAGCGCCGATTTACTCAAGAAAGAACTGGCTTACCTGTATCGCTTTTTCCGACTCAACGGATACCCGGTGAGCCCTGTAAAAAATTGTTTCAAACGCCAGAGACAATCACAAAGCGTCGATTCTAACGGTGACAGGGTATCACGGAAATTCTATTTCTGCCCTACATGCCGAGACTTTCCGAAGCGATCGCTCGACAATTAAATCAGTTCGGCATCTCCATTGTCCACAAACGGGCGTCTTCATTGCGCACCACATTACCCCGGGTAAAAGACCCCATACCGAAGGAGCAGCAAACAAGTGTCATTTACCGCATTCCATGTGCAAACTGCTCTAGCGTTTATGTTGGGCATATCGGCCGACGACTTGGGACCCGTGTCAACGAACATAAGTTGGCCATCCGCCAACGGGATCCCTTGTCTCTCGTGTCTACTAGCCCGTCCCCACAATCAGTGATGAGGTAACTTCCTGACAGTCTCGATTTGCTCGGTCCTGCCGCCCGCCTCGTAGTTATTGCAGCCATGCTGGACGCCGGACCTGTTTTTCATTGTGGATTAGTTTTCGCCTCTCCGTGGCCGACCCGCTGGTGAACGTGCGCGACCTCCCTTCCTTTCGCCGCAAAATCGGAGTGCCCGTTGGCACCCGTCGAAACCAGATGGACTGACCAGCTGCATACACAGAGGGAAGTTAGCAACAAATACAAGGGCGACTGAGATGGCTATTTCTGGCATATTAGCTGTCGTCAATCAGCTTCACCCAACTCCAGGTTTGGGGCACCTGAGGCTCGGACCCGCGCTCTTTTGGTTATCTGTCCCATGCTCTAACCAATGAGTCGTCAGCTCATTGTCTGAGAGGGAGCCACAGGGACTGGGGGATAGATTGATGTGAAATAGTTTCGAGCTTATCCCTGGTTTCATCCAACCAATCATAAACTTGACCAGAAGCTGGGGTCAGAAACACAAAAACGTGCGCGCACACGGCGCTTATGGTCCACCATCGCTGTCAAGCAGATGAGCCATAAGCGCTCCACCGAAGCGAATTTAATCAGTGTCTCGCCACCTGCCATCCTCTGTCGCTGGAAATCTGGTACTTAATTACACATGAATGGGCACACACCGGCCCACTGGCTTCCCAAAGCAAACAGGCTCCGTAGGTATGTATAATTTGTCGATATAAAAGAGCAGGAAGCTCAAACCGTATAAAAGTATAGCGAGGTAGTTCGTAGGAAATGCAGGATGAAAAAAGCATAAGTATTTTTCTCTGTGACAATGCTACTCAAATGAATCAAGTACTATGTATATAGCGAACATTTTCATTGTTACTGTACAGTTATTTCTAACGAGTTGACATGTTATCAATAGGGTTTTCAAAGGCTTTGCTTATCATCCTTATCAAATAAACTGAAATAAACTGAAAGAAGGTATCAAGTGGAGTTCTTGCTATCCTCTTCAAAGATGCCGGCAAGAGAGTCCAATTCCGGCGTGACGGACCACGTTGACGGCAGCGACAGTAGCGTCTCTGATACAGATGGAGGTTCAGCGTTATCATGGGATGATGAGGATGTAAAACTAGCGATGGAGGGAGCAGATGAGGAAACAATGGAGACTTGTGGTGTCCCAGAAAGCCAGGAATTTATGTGCTTCTTGGCCTCCTTAACCGAACTTCCGAACACAGTCTGCTGGACTTTGAGAGGTCGCAGAGCGGTAACGAAATTCTTTAGTTCTTCAAAGCTGCTGTGTTCGCTATATGCGGCCCCTAAATGGAGGCACAAAAAGAGAATGTGTGAGGGCCGAGATATCAAAAAGCCACATTGTCTCCATTTAAGGGGGGAGTTTGAACGTGCAAAACAGGTAACTTGTAGGTCTTCAAGGTGATAATTGTACCAGTGAGCAACGTTTAAAGCGCGTGTAAAATACTATTTGAGAAGATTGCCCGTTCTATACGTACAGAAGCTTAGATCCAGCTTTGTGAAAATTCTGGGTGGTTTAGCATCTTTAATGAATAGCGTGGATAACGACATAGACAACACAAGCAGGCTTCGCCAAGAAAAAATTAAACGGTAAAGATACAACATTTGGATCAGCGTAAAAACTGGTGGTTTACGAACGGTTAGAACGGTGTCCAAAACGCAGTATATAGTGGATGTCTTATCCCATGAAATGTTGATCGAAATTCTGAAGCACGTTTTCGATTCTAAAAGATTATTTAAGTATGGTTTTAATACTAATTATCGTGCAGCATAATCCTAAAATATTTTTGTCATACCATGGTGCCGGCTTTCGAATGAGTTTCCCGTCGTCTACAAAAAGTATACTGTGTGAAAAAAAGATTATTTGAGTGGCGTGGATTATTACCAGTGATTTTCGATGTCCTTATAAATTCAGAAAACGTGCACAAAAATATTCATTCTTGTACTCATTCAATAACGAGTTGCGGCCCCTCCAAATGTTTCATGTGGTGAGAGGCAGAATGTCTCGGTTTTTAAAAACTTTCTCAGTTCTTCAATAATTCTTTGTTCCACCTGCCGCTGCACTTACATTTGAAGTTTTCAATCTACAATGCTGTATACATGCCGTCAAAGGAACATCATATGTTCCTCTACGTTGTTAGAAAGATGGCATGTAGCGCTCATAAAATTTTGCAATGGATGTGGACCAGGTTGTATACTTTATCAGTAGCACTAATAAGCGTGCTGGTGTGATGCTGTAAGAATAAACACTTCACGTTCTTAAAAAACTCTTACAATTTGAAACTTTTTTAAACTGAAAGTTACTCCCTCTTCGAGTAGAAAATTTGGAGAAGACGCAAGTTGCTATCAAATGAGTACAAAATTATGTCGCATGATAATTAATATGATAATTCTAACTGGGTAATCTTTCAGAATCGAAAACATATTTCAGAATTCCGGTTAACATTTCCCGATATAGCACATATACGGTATCTAGGAAGAAACATACCCACGTGGAGGTTTTTCGCCCTTACAAAAGGATGGAGTTGATACTTAAGACACGGGTTTTCAGTCCCTGATTAAAATATGGCAGGGTTACTTGGCTGTCGGCAAAAACAAGCAGAACGCTGCAGTGCTCCTACTTCCATTCGCTAAAGTCAGCCGACCAAACCCAAGGTAGTTTTTGGAATCCATGCGATCTCTTTGAATACACCACACCCCTCAGCCTAGTGCGTGAGGCAAGGCGAAAATCATGTTCGATTTTACCAGGAAAGCAGTGCAGCGAGTCCGTAAAATGAATATGCCATGGTATAATTTTTCGGATATGAAGCCGCTGGTTCGCATTGTAGCACCCAGTATGACAACTGCGTAAGGCCTTGGCCACTAAGATGCAAAAATATGATGAAGAGATGAAATTGTCCTATTAGTCAAATATCATCAGTTTTGTAATTCAAAAGGGTTCCAAGTTGGAAAAAAACAAGCGTAGACATTTGCCTGCAGGTGAAAATGCCATTTAACCGGGGATCAGAAGGGTATTGGTTGAAGCGAAAGTTGTAGTATAAATCGTGACAGTCTGTTCTAGCAATTGCCTCGTGAGGTATAGGAAGTCGCCGGCAGTCGCCAGGTTTGTGTGAGTCTTTTCCCGATGGAGCATCTACCTAATAAACATTCATGGTCTAGACTCACTAGTGCCGTCGTGGGACGTCGGGGGTACGTTTTAGGGCAGCTAGTGTGTCAGACCTTCGCCTGTGCCTTTATAGGACTCCCATTGTTGGTTGACAACGATTCATTCATCGGGGATGAAGGTCTGTTGATTTTACAGCCAAACTTAGCTGAGGGTTGTTCCATTATCCACCACCGCTGCACGCATCTGGCCGCTAGAATATACAGGCAACAGGCAGACTCATCTCCGGTCTACTAATCTCCTTAGAAACTAATCGCAGTAAATGGAGGATAACGCGCAACTAGACTACATCCAAGCAATCTAAGTAAGAATGCGGCTGGAAGGGCTGGCCAAGGGAAATTGAAAGATTCATTGCGAAGATGACCAGAAGGCTGCACAAAGGCACTAGAGAGGGGAAACGCATAGAAAAGGATAGCAGAACGCAGGCTAGAGCATAATTCGGAATGAAAAATAGAGGCGGAGGAGTGGGCACATGTGCTCACCAAGGATGGTGAGTCCGACACTAGCGTGGATGACAGACAGACAGTCGGCCAGGCTTTGGATAAGGTCCAGACAAGTTAAGCGTGAAAGAGCTGCAGAAGATGTCTGTTTTTTGGTCCCACCGTTGTGCGTCCAGCCCGTAGGACGCCAGGCCAGCAGGGTGCGACGATCAGCGGAGCCGGTGGAGGGGCAGAATTCAGTACGAAGACTGCGTGCGTTCAGCTTGCCCATGTCAACCACAACGAGGTTGGCGACTGTCCGCGACGGCGCCTGACGTTGTAGGAGGTCGGAACAGATCACACAACCACCACCAGCTGCAGCTTCAATTAGACGCCTTTGCTTGGATGGTAACCAAATTGTCAGACCAAGGGCCTTCACAAGACCTAAAAAGTAGAAGCTGTGTTTTGACTGGGGGCGAACCGTCCGCCCTACAGGGACAGGCTTTGCTTAAACGTCGGCGTCGTTCGCATTGGTTTCATACTGCACAGCGTTGAATTTGGAAGCATCGGCGTGCAGTTAATTGTACACTTAGGGAGATAATGCGGTTTCATACTCAAATTTGTTTTGCGATATTGGCTTTCTCAAATCGCCGAAGCGACATTAGTGGCTTAATCTCAACAGCAGCGTTAGTCACCTAGGGGCAGCAAGGTGCTTCTGGTTAACATCGATTGTTTCGGTCATTCAGCAGATTCCGCCTTGAGATCTTGTTACTATTGTTTTTTCAGCGTTGGCCCTGCTGAATTATTCCCAAGATTTTTCGCTCAACGATTGACCGGTGGGATTTTCCGCAAATTCAGGAAAAGAATTAAGGTTAAGCTAAGAAACCAAATCCGAGAACAACGGCCTTGAGCGTAATGACAGTCTTAAGCTTGGTCAAACTACGCAATCAAGCAGGAGGGTTGGTGCCAAGTGTATGGACAATTCGAGGCTTAAGTCGAAAACAGCACGATATCTCAGTGTTGTCCTCATCGAACCATCCCGATTGACGGAAAAAACAGACTACGAAAGTGGGGGCAATTGCAACCTGTCCCAGGTCCAGGGCTACGCATTCAGCGATTGACCCAAATGCACATTTGTAGTCGCAATCCGTGTTACGTACGGGGGTCTTGTGGAACGCACGGTCTCGAGGCAACCAGGTAGACTCCAAACAAAATCATCCAAATGAATTGTAATCTGTCTAGAACAAGAATATGTACTAAGTACGCGAGGAAAAGAAAAAAACTTAGCTTCAGAACTTTCAAGGCATTCAAATCAAAATTATCACCTTAAAAAGGGAGGGTTGGGGTAATAGGTTTAAGAGAATGTGGTGGGGACATGGGAATTAGTGACGTGTCCTCACCTAAAACAAACCGCTCCTTTCCGATGCTGTACATCCCGCAGACCACAAGAGTGTAGGGGTCGGAGAGGAGGAATTCACGAGTCACATTTACAGCAGCCGCGATGACAGCATCCTGAGTAGGAAACCCATAAGTGGGACAACAGTAACTAGGAGGGAACGAAAAGCGCTTCAGTAGCCGTCACTGTCAGACGACGAGACGGTTGAAGAAATTGCTAACCTTCTAAGACTACTTGCACAAATGAAGTAGAAAGCATTTGTAGGCTAAAACGCACACTATAGTTCATGACGTTCCAGCATTGCCTTACGTCGTATCCAAGAAAAGAGTAGTTATTCGTGCACACGAAGATGGCACCGGCGACTGTATATAGTGTTTTAAAACACTTGGCTGTTCCAGCATCCACGATTGTGCTCTGAAGTCACCTGTATGAAGGACCACCTTATTTTGCAGCACTAAGCGGAAGAGGATCATGACGGAGCCGGGACAACTAAAATAAGAAATAATAAGCTTAAAATTCCGTATGAAGGTGATCCAGCACGGCCGATATTTAACGGAGCCTTTAGGTGGCGTAGAAGATGAACCATCCTCAGTGAGTCTTAGTTTGTATTATATGTGATCCAATCTAAAAAGATCAGTAAAATTCGTAACCATGCCGACATGTCCGGCAACTGTTCAACACCGGAAAAATAAAAGTTTATTTAAATTATCAAAGGCTAGATCTTTGTAGTCGATAGACAGTGTCGTCGACGAGCACACACAAAGGGATAAGAAAAAATAGCAAACTAAAGACCAAACAGTGTGGAGAGAAAGTGAGTCTGCGGCCACATCCCTCGTTTTTAAGATGAAATATGACTAAGTTACACCCGCGCACTAGCCTTCAACCTCGAATGAATACCACTTCAGGGCTGTATCGACCTACACTAGACTTGACGTAAAAATAAAAACGTATGTCAATACAGTGCTTAGGGACGATAGTGATCGTCATCGTATGAAGCGTAATTGCTGAGCTGGTAACAGCGATACGCTCAGTAAGGAATTCCTCTGTTTGGAACACCCTCCCTCCAAATAACGCGATGTCGCTCTATACTTTTACTTTCGTCACTATATGCTTAGATTTCGCCATGTAAGCTAGGATTCAAGAGCTTCATTCGGGTGGGAAGATGTACCATTAAAAGAAACGAAAACTAGCGAAAAAGGAACTAACAAAGTAAACGTCTAGAGTATTTCAGTCACTTATATATATATGTGCATATGCAGTAGATCAGAGGTGGTATGCATTCGCGGGCCGATATACTAAAAAAGAAAGAGGTTCTTCGGAAAAATCGAGTTGTATTCGTGAATTTTCGAGCTGGTGACACCAACCTGTCATCAGACGAAATGGGAACAAGGGAGAAAGTTAGTTTGTCGCACTAATTAGCACGACAGGACAGACCCCATAGTCATCATGATTTTCTTAAGCACTCTTTACATCCCAGGGATCTCCCGAGTACGAGGGGCATCGGGCAGTGGGGCTGTTCGCAAACGTTTGCGCCAAGCCGAGTCAGTCGAGATGGTGACGCAAGGCAACCTTCCCCAGTCACTTCTGGCAGACCTGTGGGTTTTCAACAAGTGGTGTATTTGAAATAGTTTCGACTGTGAGCCTCCTAACGAAATAACCGGATCTCACAGAAAGTACACCAAACCCACGACTCCTCGCCTGCATTTCGAATTCGACTTTCGGATGTCTCTGGACAGTGTCATGAGATCCGAGTGTCATGCTGCCGCTGTGTCTGTGACAAATGTTTCGACTAACCCGACATAAGGCAGCGTTTATGGGCCGCTGTTAAGTTACAAAGCGAGTTCCTCCTAGCTGAGAGACACTTCCATTACTCTACCTACACTTGTTCCTATTCCTCTTCATCGCATTTCTTCACCCACATGTCCTTCGTGACAGAATCATTTGAAAGTCCTAATCCCCACAGTGGACCATGTGGACTATAGCTAAGTCGGACTGGTTTATGGCACGCGTCCGTCGGGCATAGAAGTCTGCGCGAGTCCCTAACCATACATGCGCGTGGCACGCCTTCGACCTAGGCCTTCACGCCGCACCAGCCACTGCAGCCAATCCCATCACCTGTTGGTTGGCAGACCGGTGCACGGAAGGACTAGAGCCTGACACTGGGAACTCATCCTCATAGAAAATGAATGCATCCCTCAGCAAAACAAATCTATCGCGCTCGAATCCATCAAGACACGTTAAGTCATGACTTGTAAAGTTGTCAACTGACGTGATAAATCGGTTCTTCTAGAGATTGAGTGCTCGGCCGCGATGGCTCCTTAGCGTGACCCTAATACCACATGCGTGCGTGGAGGATCCAAAACGCCCCTACGGAAGCTCAGCACATATAACGAGCGCCAGGTCGAGAGTGGCACGCGCAGAAGAGTCGTTTGGTGTTGTCAGCCAATGTGTTCGCACCCGCCTCCGGTCGGCTGAACATTGTCTTGCCATCAGAGGAAGGTGTCGCTGACGCTGTGCAAGCTTATCTCAATATAAGATAATCAGACTGCAAGTCACCGATGATGCGCCCAACCCGTGGGGCCCACGGTGAATGTCACCTATTACGACGGTCGAAGGCCAAATTTGGTCGAATAACTGCCATACCTCGCTACTCGACTTACAGTCGCCAATTGCCTTCACTCACCTTTCGGATTCTAGCGGAAATTGTTGAGCTCTTTTTGCGGAAACACAATTTACTAAGCAGTATATGAGGCGGATGCTTACCCCACACCATGGTAGGACCCCAAACTTTCTTCATGTGGGCACCCCGGTCTCGCACAAACCAAGTGCGTAGACAACAATTAGACATGAATTTCAAACTGAAAGCTCATCACCCTTGCGTCAGGCTGCTCCCAGATGTCGCGACAACCTTCACGTGCTCACTTTCTATGAAACACCATAACCTCAAGTTAAGTTCGCTTGTTTTTACGGACCATACTTTGACTGTCAGGTCCCATTTTTATGCCTAAATTCTCGGTATCCGTATGTACGATCGTTAATGGCCTAAGTTCGTCAGGTTTTGTTGCTCGCAAATTCTTACTGAAATTATTCTGCCGAGTCACTGTGTTGTGTTTATAGGGTGCCTATTTCCTGCAGATACTTGAAGAAATCAAACAAACTAGTTTTGAGAACTTTAAGAATGCCTATGCACTGAGGAGGTCTCAGTCTTCCTAAAGTAAACAAACTGGCTTAGGATCAGATGGTAACCGTCCGCGATGTAGCAATGGCATAAAAGTATTAACTAAGCGCACTTGGCAAGCCCGAACTTCTGTTGAAGTGCTACCTGAAATTAGTAAGGCTGTGGGCTGAAATATCTGTTTCGGCACGCAAGTGTATGTAACTATAAGGACTTAAAAGTGGCAAAAGGGAAATAATAAGGGCTGCCATTCCCCCCTTCTGCAACCTAGAAAGGCGTGATAGTCTCCACCTAAGAGTCTACAATACATTCTAAAGTATGACTGACAGACAGACGCAAATTACTAAATCCAAGGGATAAGGCGGTATAAGGGGTCCGGGCATATAAACAGAAGTGAGAATTTGGAGATGAAAACCATGTTGACGTGCAAAATAAGGAATAATGCGTATGTACTGGTTTGCATCCAAAAGCATTACATCACAGCCTTGGATGTTCACAAAAGTATTCATTGGTAAGGCGTGCACATTGAGGTTGCATCCAAAGTTCTGCAGAAGGAAGTTCTTGGTTATCTGGAGAGGCAACTATATGGGTGACAACGCATTACCTCGCTGCAGTATATGTTTCCTGTAAAGACCCTTGATAGACCTCCATAGTGGTCATAGTGGAAATGGGTCAGAAAATATGCAGTGCATCCCGAAATACTGCCATATTTGAACGCGTCCACAGTGAATGTGGTGTCTTCGAGATTCAGAGGCAACACGACTGACTTACCTGGAATCCATTTAAAACGAGGGCATGTGCGGGGATAGCTGCTTTGATACTTGTGTCTAAATATATCATTAGGTGTCTTCGTTTGCGGTTCAATTTTGCCATCGGATGTGTCCAGATGGATGCTGTTAGGACTTTTTGCGTGTTTCGAGATGTCAGACGAAGTTGCAACTTGTTTTGGCGAACCAGAATGTATTATAAAGGAAAGAATCGACTTGTTCTCGTTAGCTATCTTCTTTTTAAGCTTCGCAGAGAGGCCGCGAGGCATGACGGAGACGCAACAAGCCAACAGTTACACGGCTTTTGTTCATTTGCTTGTATTTCAATGTATTAGAACACATAAATCCGAACCTTGAAAAGAGGTCTTAATCGACAATTGATGAAGGAAAATAGGAAGCGGACGATATTAAGGAAAGCCAGTTCACAAAAATACTCGAGGAAATTCGTCGTTAACGAAATTTTGCCTAAAGGCGGATCCGTTAGTCAAGGAAGGACTGTGAATTCCGGACAATTCAGCGGGCTGAACAGAAGCCCAATACCTTTGTCGATCACGTTCATAGTCAACTAAAAACAGTGCACGGTAGCAGTACCTCAGGGTGACAATACCGTAGATTTCCTTGAGTACGAAGAGAAAGTCGAAGGCTCAGGCCAATTCTCTGTTTCTGTATTCATTAAGAAAACGGAATGTCACATTCGTATTGTCAATAGTCCCGTCGCAAACGCAGGTCTATTACTCGACAGCTGTTTTAGAAGGATCGTTGCGAAATCTCGGAGGAGGTAAGTCATCGGGTCTGGACATCGTGCAGGCGAATTTCTTAAAAGAACTGACAAGCGAACTCTCCAAACCACTGGTGCATATATCCCATTCATTATTTGAACTGGAAAGACTGCCATCCAAATGAGGAACAGCAAACATCCACCCGATATGTAATGGTTCTCCTCGAACCAGAGCGAATAACTATTGTTTTGCCAGTCTAGCGTGCATCTGTTGTAAAGAGATATAAAAAATAGATAAGAAATTGACATCAAAGTTCCTGGAAGAGAAACACTCAGTCTCGGGCCTCGAACACAGTTTCAGATAGAACAGTTCCTGTCCTACCAATTTGTTCTTTCCGACTAGGCAGTGGAATCATGCACTGAACAAAGCGGGTAGACTTGACGTCGTCCACTCTGATTTCATGAAGGCGTTCGACAGCTTTGCACACATACTTCTAACTTAGGAGCTGTCAGAAATTGGAATAGGAGACAAGCTGTTTGTATGAATCGCACAGTTCTCCACAGTGAGATCGCAAGTCTAATGTGTTGGGGACATGAAGTCAACCCCCAACTCTGTTTCAAGTGCTGTACCCCAGGGTCCGGCCTTTGGTCGTTACCCTTTTTTGGTCAAGGATGTAAGATCCACTTAAACCACATACAGTAATGTCGCTCCGTCTAGTACCAGAAGTCGGAAATAGATGACAAGTGGTTTATTCTGTACGCAGGACAGATCGCCGTGAATGGGCCGTTTGCTTGTGACAAGGCTAAGCGTCTGCTCGGGAGCGCATCAGTCGCGGTGTCTTGCTGTGGGTCGCTGCCGCCAAAAAGTGTTGTGTAAAGTTGCTTAGGCCACAGGTCTATTCTGTCCGCCAGTGTAACCAACCGGCGAGAAGATGTGCGTTGAATGGCTCCGACCTCACGCGGGGGTACTGACAAGCTTTGCATGATGTAGGCAGAATGTCGACCAGAAGTGTGGTGTGGTCGGGATTGCAGCGAGACAGATCAAAGCTTAGTGTGCGCAGCCGTGGCGCGTTTGCAGCCCAGCAAAGGGGTACATAGACGGCTGCTACAATTCTTCCTAATCAATGTCATCGACTGCGTCAACAACCTGAGTTACATCGCCGTCATGTTTTCTGACGATATCAGACTATGGAGATACATGAAGTCCTGTGCGGATAGGCGTATACTTTAAGACAAAAACATTTCAAAATCTGGCATAGATTCTATGGGAGAAAATGCTGTCGTTCGTTCTACAGATAGGTTAGTATAGGTCTGTATATTTTAAGGGTAACAGGCAATGCTTTTGATAACCCTATTGAAAACGGTAATACAATATTTCGACTCAACTAAACGTGCTACTCAAGTGTTGTCAGTGACACGGGCATGCTACAAAATGTTGACATGGAGAATGCGGAACTGATACTCGGTAACACTGAGTTTTAGGTAGTAAAGGCAAAATGAGATAACAATCACCCGCATTAACGGTTAGTGTATGCAAGGCGTTGATTTGGTATAACAGAGCTGTTTTGTCCAGTTAAGCGTCACTTTTCAAGTAAATATGCATCCAGTCCTTGTTTAAATGTCTCCGTGGAATCCGTCGTTATCACGTCCTCGGGAAGCCTATTCCAGGCACCGACGACTCGCAGTGAAAAAGAGTACCTGCGAACGTCCAGGTGGCATTAGGATCCTCGAAGTTTAAGAGAGTTCTCATGCAGGTTTGGTGTTGTGGCCAAGGGGAAGGAATCATCGAGGTGCAGCGAACAGTCCCGGCTCCTCATAATCCGGCACGTTAGTACGAGATCACGGATCTGCCTATACTCATCAATTCTGCAGCTATAATGTAAAGTCTTGAGGTCTTTTCCAATTTTGGTCGCCCTCCTATGAACACTTTCCAGAAACGTAGTCCTTATTCAGCCAGGGACGCCACGCTTGGATTTGATATTCCAATTACGAACGAATAAGCGCTCCATGTACTTTTCCAAATAACTCATTGACTATATCTATGATAGTTCGTTTGATGGCAAAGAGAACACCGGTTGCCCTTTTGACCGCCCTAACGCATTGAGAGGAGAGGTTAAGAGACGAACAAATGTTGTTCCCAATATCCTTTACTTCGGTCTCATTTAACGGGCACTTTCCGCTACGGAGGTATTGGCGATCCTCTGCATCGGATCTTCCTTTCATTCTGAGTCGCAATGCAACGTACTTCGCAAAGTTAAACCTTAGCAGACATTTGTCGGACCACTCACATAGACGGTTCAGTCCTTCTTGCAGGGTCCGTTTATTATTTTCCCGTTGTTCGCTCACCATAACTTGATGTCATCAGCAAACACGACTCAATTGCAGTCCAGTCTATTCAGGCAGTCACTGGCACAAATTGAAATCAGTACTGGTCCGAGCACAGAGCCTTGAGGTACTCCAAAAACAACTGGGACTGACGTTGATTTCGTACTATGAATGCATACAAACTGCGATCGGCCGGATAAGAAGTCCTCTTCCAAGTTCCGCAGGTTCTTCTTTATCCCCAACTTCCGGACTTTGAAGAGCAACCGGTGGTGTAAAAAATCCAAGGGTTTCTTGAAATCGATGTAAACCACCTTGGCTTTTGCTCCTTTGTCTAGCGAGTGGGACCAATGCTCCATTAAATAAAGCATACTGGTTAAACAGGAGTGATTTCGTCGAAAGTCATGTTGTGAACTATCAAAGAAATTCCTTTCTGTAGGGCCCTCACAATAGCTTTTTTGACTATTGTTTCAATAACTGTGCAACAACTGCCCGTTAGACTCACCAGACGATAACTATTTGCACTTGTACTAGATCCACCCTTGTGAATGGAATATACATTCGGCGCCTCCCAATCCGAGATGAGAATGACCGGGTCAAAGAACAATGGGAAAACATGCAAACGCGATCTTCCGAGTTCACAAGCCAGCTCCTCCAGAATTGTTGACGCATTTGGTCCGAACTAGGAGACTTGCACTACATAAGCGCTAGAATTTCCTTCATCACAACAACTCCAAAAAACTGCAGGCAGTAATATTATGTACTTTCCCACGCCACAAAATAGAGCCAGCAGCTTGCCCTTCACATGTATATCAAGCTATAATGCAAAACATCACGTGAGGCGTCCAAATAAAGACGTTACGCCGCATATCACGGACGTGAGCAACTTAGCAACAGACCTGGATACAGCCATAAAAGCAGTCCCAGAGTATGAGACTCCATCTACCGCCAGCAATAAAGGGCAGGATGCAACCACCACAAGAGACCACGTTGTGTGGTAGTGCAAGAAGTTCCTGAATCCCTAATGACACCCCGAAAGGGAGGGTAAAACACTATCTGCTGACATTTCAAAACCTACTGAATAACACCAGAGAACCCGGTGAGGTCTTCGAAATCCACAAGATCTTCTGTTTGGAGCCTTTAATTAGAAACAACGTAGGATCGGCCCCTTCGAAATCCATGCTGATGTAAACTGGGCAAGCCGTTTTCTTCAAGATGTCGCATCAGCTCCGTTTTTATTACCTTTTTCATCACCTTGCAACAGATGCTTGTGAGACTCACTAGCCTGAGACAATTTGGGGCTGTTCTCTCGCCACCTTTATACATGGGGTTTATATTTGCTTTCTGCCGGTCGATGGACAGAGACCCGGTCTCCATCGAAGTTTTGAAGATCCTGGATAACGGAGAGCCCAGTTGGTCAGAGAGTTCATTCAGGATTTTTGCGAGTGCGCCGTCTAGACCAGAGGATTTAGTGGGCTGCGGTTGACTCAAAGTTTTCCTTGCTGTGTCTGTCTTGAAGGCCACTGTGCTAATTGTATTGCTAATTTAGCAATTGGGGATTAAGCTCTTTCATCAGAAGCCGGCCCCTCGGTATATACAGAAGTGGAGAAATCGGACAGCAGGTTCGCGTTGTCTGAATTATCAGACAACGTATTGCTCTGACGATCTTTCAGACAGGTAATGAAGTCCCGGTGGCGTTTCGCCTTATTCACGTATCCAAAGTATTTTTTGCAATTTTGCGGGATACTTGTTAGAATTTTTCACTCAATTTCTGCCTGTTCCCTCCTCGACAGATTCCTACATACATTTCTCTGTTTTTAAAATCAGCGATATGTTCTAGTTGCTGACATCTGACGTACTTCATCCAGAGTCTCCTTTTCAAACTAACATTCGTCCTTATTTCGGACGTCACCCATTCTGGTCAGGAAGTGCGCAGTTTTCTCTTAAGTGGATAACAGCTCTCTACCAAGTGATGCATTACGTTCTTGAAGAACAGTCAATCGCTTTCTGTGTCAGATCCTTGTACTGCATTCCAGTTCACCTTCTGTAGCAGATTTTTCATTCGGGCATAATTCTTTTTCCATGCATTTCTTTTCTCAGCAGCTCGAATTTCGGGTACAGAAAAGTGACTATACTCCCAAACAAGAACGCAGTGGTCACTTCGGCCAAGGGGCGTGTGCGATTCCAATCCGGGAATGCAACTATCATCCCTAGTGATGATGAGGTCCA